CTCTCAACGCAGCAGCACGACAACACGACGGAGAAATAAAAAACGTGCGATTACTCTAAATAACGCACAGAATATACACGTGTATAAAAAAAAATAGAAAAAATAGAACTTCTAAAATTAGTTCTGTCGATTACTTTAAATAACGCACAGCATATACAAAAATATACATAATAGTAGAAATGGTAGAAATAGAAATGTTAAAAATAGATTATCCAAAATAAATATGTGACTATAAATATACATTCTATCTATGCGAGACATGGCGACTGAGGAACCTATCCATTGCTGGCAGACATATACCATCCTCCACATGTTTGCGTATGCCGCAGCTATATTTAATCATAATTTGTGCGTGTTTTTTAGCAAACTTATAAAAGGACCTGCACAAATCAGAGTATCTGTATCCTTGCTGAATCAGTCGCTCCGTTAGTTTGAAATGTCTCAACGTAAAATCCGAGTAATCACTACAAATTCTACCTATACGTACTATTTGGGAAATATAGACTCCGTATGCTGGTCCAGATGGAATATTGGAACTTAGATATGGAAAATTTACAATTTTGAAGTTAAAATCATCCTGTTTATCATAATTATACTGCTGTGGAATATTTCCCATTTCTTATAGTTATATGTATATCTAAGCATGGCATTATTGGCGAGCGGGAGCGAGCACACAATGATTGTATCTGCACGAGCCATCCTAGAACCACGAATATTGGAAAGAGGTATCATACAGCCTCGGTCAGGTATCGAAGAGAGCAGCGAATGCCAGTGAATAGACGAGAGTTCTTTCGCTGGCTAGATTTCGAATCGATATGACAGCTAGGCAGCGTATAAAAAATTTGAAATCCTTATCACACAAGCGACGCTGATACAGACGAGCCTCTCTCTGCTCAGGAGTCTCACGGGCACGATGTTCTCTTTCCCTCTCTCTTCGACGACGAAGGGCATCTTCAGAACTGATCATGATTGCGAGAGTATATATACGGAGCCACACACACACGCGTATAGGCACACGTGTGTACTATACTCACGACGACATTGCAGGCAGCATGTCAAATCTTTCGGATAAAAAGAAGCGCGGAATATTTTAGTGCTCTATACACTTTGATCGACTACTGTTCATCATCATCATCATCATCATATCATGTTGTTATCTTGTCTAGAGCGTTTTTAAGGTGTTAGCAGTGAATTAGTGACATAGAATTGTGTAATACTGTATAATCAGGCAAAACCCTCCATAAAGGACACCCCGCTATAATGGACAAATGTTGTGGCTCTAAGTTGTCCGCCTTAGAGGGGTTCCACTGTACATGTAAACAGCAACAAAAATAGCCCTAGGCCATACATTATGATATAGGGCAATAACTAGGTAGAGCAAATACCCAGAATGATAAAACTTTCTACCCGCATGCAACCCATCATTAGTATCAAAATGGGTAAACATTAAACAACAACAAGCAGCCTCAGGCAATAAAAACTTGTGTAAATGGTGTCTGTGCCTCTCTTGCTTATGGTTAAGGAAACTTGGTACACTGATTTACCATGATGAGAGTTCATCGGAACAGAAATTACAAGTTTGTAAACAACAACAAATAGCATCAGGCAATAAAAACTTGTAAATGGTGTTTGTGCCTATAAATTACTTGTGGTGGTTGGTCCTCTAACAATGAAACTTGGTACACTGATTCACCATGATAAAGTGTTCATCGAAACAGAAATTGCAAAGAACAAACAGCCTCAGGCAATAAACGGTGTCAGTGCCTTATGATGAAACCTAGTGCACTGATGTAATGTGAATGATGACCAAACGTCTGAGGCGATAGCTTAAGGTCACTAATGTTACTTTTTACAGGCTTATGTCCAAAATATTAATATTGCACACCATGCATGTGAATGCAGTAAAAAAGGAAAGGAGACAAGTAAATTTAAAAAGTGTGGAATATAGGGATACCATATAAAACAAGACAGGGATGACCTAGTGCATGTCTGTACAATGGGATGATGGTTACACCTTCAAACTGACATCGCTTGCTCGTGTAAATTTTACTCCACATAAGCCTAAATATCGTCTGTACAATGGGATGATGGTTACACCTTCAAACTGACATCGCTTGCTCGTGTAAACTTTACTCCACATAAGCCTAAATATTGTCGCAAAGCATGAGTGATCTCTATCGTATGATGTGCAGCTGTTTACTTCAATGTTCGCTCAACTAAACAGTTATGCTGCTTTCTCTACAGAATTTGTTTGCAATTCTTCACACTGCATTGTTCGAAATGGAGTAAGAGTGGCGACAATATACGAGCAATACTATCTACTTGTACTAAGTACTACCGTACATAGTGATACGTGTATACGGTGGCTATCTATGCATAATATACACGTGCAAACACATGTTTACGTTTACATGATGTTTACCAGCGATCATCCTTGCTGGTCTGCGCTGAAGGGCGAGAACAAAAGAAAGATCTAAACTCGGCCGTCCATCTTTCCCCTCAATCGGGTTGTACTACTGTGGTAGACAACGAAGCACAAGCATGTATTATACGGTGAAGGACTGAGGAGTGCAGGACTATGCTCCGGCCCTGTAAAGTGTACTTGCTCCGTATGCTAACCATGCCCGCCCTTGCACGTCCGTGTCCCGTCCCGGTCCGCGTACACACGACAGCGTGCGTTTACGTATATACGGTGTAGCACACACACTACTATGTATGCACACACAACAGTACAACATAGGTGGACATTTACACATTGTATGAAACACACCATTATGGTATCTTTGGCTTTAGTCAAACTTATAAGAGTGGGAAATGATTAGAAAGTGCAAAACGAACTGTCCTGTCTGATGCCTGCTTGCTTGGTTGCTTGTTGCTTGAGTGGGCTACTGGGGGTCTAGTCCGTGTATATACTAGACTGCAGTTTGTAGTCGCCTGGGGTCCTTCTCAGGAAGACCATATGCCTGGCTCACATCTGACTTGCCCGCATGACCACAGCCACAGCTCTGAAAGAACTTGGTCCATGTACTGAGGGTCTTTTTCGAGAAGACCCACGAGGTCGAGCATATCCCAACAAAGAAGAGGGCGATGTAGCGGATGAGGAATGCGGCAAAGTTTGGCGAGTTTTCACATTGGGAAGGGTTGCTATTGCTGCGACATGTTTCTCCCTCAACATAACTCTTTTCCCAGCTTTCACGCTCGGCTAGCTCATATGTATGGATGAAGAGGAGAATAGAGTTGGTGAGGATGTACAGACCTGCATACACACCAATGCGGATTATCAGTCGACCCAACTTCCGTGCCTTAACCGGGTCCCTTTCTAGTGCGTGACGGATCTTGACGAGTGCTGAGAAACCAATAACAAGGAACACAGTTCCGAGAAGCAGATAAATCAGCAGAGGCATATAGACAAAGACTCCAAGAGCAACACGGCTGAATTGCCCAGGGTAACAGAGTCCTGAGAGTTGATCTCCATCAACCAGTTGCAGCGCAAGCACAAGGATGGTCTGCACTGCAGGGAGACTCCAGGTCACCACATGGTACAGGGGCCAGAGTCTTGCCACTGCTTCCTCGCCCCACTTTAGCACGGCCGCCAGGAACCATGTAAAGGTTAGTATAACCCACCACAGGCTTGCTGCCATCTGTGTGTAGTACGCTAAGAGGAATAGAATGACACAAGAAGCTGTCCTTAGGGTGACATTGTCATTGGGAAGACTTTGGAAGACAAAGCGGGATGGAAGAGCTGGTATTACTTCAGCACTATATTGAGTCTCGGTTATGAGATGCTCCACCTCCTCCGTGGATCGTGCGTATGTTGCTGTGCATCCAAAAGACACGTCTCCTCCACCTACGAGTTTTGAAATGGCCCCAATGAAGTATGCCCCAGACAGGATCAGGTAGCAGAGTGACAAGTACACGATTGGTCTCTCAGGATAGTGAAATCGATTGCGATTGATGAAGAAAGTAGCAACTGTAAACGCAGTAAAGAGAATGCAAACAAATGCGAAGAGAAGAATGAAGAGGGGGGCAACAATATTTCGCTGAGAGTCACTGAAGTAGATCCCCCCACATCCTGGACCACAATTATCTATGCCAGCAAATGAGAAGCTCTTGTTCCTAAGTTTGCGTGCGACAACCATTTCTATAGGGCACCTCGTTGACATTGTTTGATCAGTTGCTGCCGTGCTCATTGATGAACCACTACTATCTGTTGGGGGACTGGGGGTGTCACCAGGGGACACCAGGTTTGGGGGAATTGTGACCTCATTTAGCTGTTCCTGCGGCCCAAAAACACAGGTCATTGTCTTCATAGTTGTCACAGTTGAGGTGGTCCGGCCAGGGAAGACCACCTGCCCGCTGATTGAATACTGGTTCACATCTGTCACGTACATGCAGACAGAGACGCTTACATGGACGGAGCACTCTGATGGGATGTTCATCAGTGCAAAAAGGAGCGTAAATGGAACAAAGGAAAATGACAATGGCCCCTGAGCAATTGACTTCAATGAGCTGACGAAACTGTTCCAATTCTTGGTTAGCTTCCGTCTGGCTGGTGTGGCCCCGAAAGTTAGGAAAAAGAGTATAGTTCCAGGGCATGTCCTCACATATCGGAACGGACGTAACGGGCTGGCATTTCTCTGGCACAATCGTCGGCAGAGTAACGGGTGTTGAAGTATTCTGTCCCTGAGCATCTTGCGCATTGGCGTATGGCGAGGCAAGCACTGCGCTTGCAATTACTAGCAGCAGCCAACTAGCCATGCCGAATTGGATTCGACCCCTACCTGCAGCAAGAGAACTAACGTGCATCAACAGGCAAACACGGAGGAGTTTATGTTACTCGACGTGTGCAAAACCTATGAGACACGGGCAATCAGTTCCGGCAAATAGTACAACCCAGACTAACGACTCTCTTGACAGTACTGTTGCACAGTGCGTGTTTATTTTACGTACACTGCACTACTTCTGTCTTGTACCATTGACTTACGTTGAAGTTCTTTCTACGGTGATGGTCCTTCGTCTCCGCGGCGTCCACGGGCCCAAGGAGAATTTCGATTGCCAATAATTTCGCGCGAGGATATCCGCTTATTCGTGCGGAAATGACGATTAGTAGCAAGTCCTGACGCACCAAGGTTCACAAAGTACAACGGAAACAGCACAAGATCTCACTGTTGCAGACCTAGGGCCTAGGGACTAATGTCCACCTATGGATGCGGAGAATGTATGCACACAACCATGCCTGATTCTGTTTATGATAAAGATATGCAGAGCCTTGTTCCAGCACAGGTGTTGCAAGTCATATGCATGGATGACTATTTATCAAGTTTTACAACACATAATACACAGTCAAAACTAGACCAACAACAAAATAAATAATTACAGGTGAGGTATCATTTTCAAGTTAAAGAGTGATGGGTTAGGTCAATTGAGCTAAAAATTCGTGGCTGGGCATAATCATCACTGTGCTTTTATGACGTCACAAATGGTGTATCACCAAATGCATCAGTAGATGGTATGAATGGCTGGGCTCCAAACACGTCTCGAGGTGCTTGTGAGGTGTCAGATGAACTGGATTGTTGACTGGTGCTAAGCCGGAGAGCACTAAACTCATCAACTGCATCACTGCTGTCTAGGTGATTACTTGAACGGCTGTGGGAGACTGGGCTGCTGCGGTTGCTAAGGGTCACAAATGGTGTATGCCCAAACGCATCCCTCTTTGATCCGCCAGCTGAACGATGCAGTACTCTATCTGGTTTATTGGTTGTGAAACATGGCTGTCCAAACTGGTCAAGTTTCTTCACCTTGTCCCCGTCGAGTTCTCCATACACGGATTTGCACTTTTGTTCTGAGCTGCGTGCCCTCTGGTGCTGCTGTCTCTGTATGATCTGCTGCTGTTGCTCAAGATCCCGAGATGTCAGGGGAGCAACAGGTTTTTCCCTGCCAGCTGGACAAAACCTGTTGAGGCCGCTGTCAAGGCTAGTAGCCATGGCCGCTGACCCACATTGTGGAGGTTGCAGATGTGAGGGAAGGTAAGTGGGAGTGAAATTTGGAGACGGAGCACGATCGGGCAGGGCGTACACGTGGTCTTCCTCTTGGAAGAATTGCCACTGTGGTCCTTAGCTGCTGAACTTTCCTGGAGGAAAGGTTAAACAAGGTTTGTGTATACAGGTGATGCTTCCTTTGAATGAAACCACAACAGTATAATACAGCCATATCTATTGCCAAACACACCTCCATGTGGAGTGGTGCCCCCACAATCACAGCTGCACACTGTTAGCAAAGATTTGGCTTGGGAAAGAGGCCATACCAAGCAGAATGCACAATGTATGAACATAGACAGAGGTGCTAAAAGTGCCCACAAAAGTGATTGAAAGGCCATTTGTGGCTTTCAAAACAGGGAAGGGTTGACAGTGTGAATAGGTCTATACAAAACAAGGATGTGTACCAGTGCAACTGTGTTGACATGAACCTACATGGGCTCAACACCCAGCCACAGAGAAAGAGCACTCCAGCCTATGCTTCTCCCATACAGCTACATACAGCTGCAAGACAGTCCTTGTACTATTACACATGCACACAATACCAAGACTCTAAGGTGTGTAATTAGGAGTGAGTGAGCAATCATGTGTGTAGTGCCTAAAGGAAGATCAAAGGGTGCTGTGGTGCACCTAAACACTTTGAAGTATGCTAAAGGTATTCATGAATGGCTCACTTGCCCACACAGATGTCTACCATGCATGTAGGTATATTGTAGAGCTTGCACTAAACAGAATTACTCCCATGAACTAGAAACAAATATGTTGAGCCAGAATACCAACCCTTCCGCTTGGCTTGTAACAAGTACAGTGTATGTGCAGCTCAGTTCCTCTACTGGCAAGACAGGTTCCCTGGCAGTTGTGGCATCATCAACAAAGCCAACTGCTGCTAAAAATTCAATTACAGTCATAGTTAGCCTCATTCCCAGGCCTTCCGTGAGAGAGAATGCCTGGTACACACTGTTCGTGAATGCGCACAATATTCCCAACATTCCTGGAATTCGTTATCACGTGCGGATTTCTCTGTGTCCCTGATGTCATTTGTGTGCTCTTAGATACTTCCCACTACATGGTTAGTTGCAACCACCTGACTCAACTGGACAGGCAGAGGAGAGGCGGCAGTACAGCGCTACCTGAAACGTGCGTACCTCACGTATATGAACGACTCGCCGCTTAACAGCACTGCTGACTGTGGCTCAGTCGCGGAAATTTACCTGCAGGACAGAAACGCCATGTGCGTATTGGACATGCCCACATTTTTCTGTGACGTGTATTCGGCGCATGCGCAAACAGTGTGTACCAGGCCTTCTCTCTCGCGGAAGGCCTGGGAACGAGGCTCAGACATAATCATACTGGTAATAAGAGGTAATCCAGATGGAGCAGGTGTGCGTGCTAAAGGCCACATGAAAGATTACCACACAGTTGTATGAGACATGACTGCTTACACATAGCCAAAGGAATGAGAGCAGCCAAGATAACTTCCTACAAATCCCAAAAATATGTTATTATGTGTTCCTGTGAGCCTCTCAGTATGACTCATCTAGTGACATATGGATGATTAGGTCCTTTTCAGAGTGTAATCATACTGGGCTGTAACCTAGTATATAGCACATTACTCTTGTACATGTCTCTGTAGCTGTGTGGGGGTACAGGGTATGATTTCCAGAGGCCCAAACTATTGGCAAAGTACACCACCAATGTTTACTTAAGTTCCCTTTGATGATGACAACACTGTACATGGCAAGATGTAAACTATGTTCAAGTTACAGTACATTGTCTCCAATGGGATGAGCCCCTCTAATGTAGACATGATATGGAACACTTGCTATAACCCCATACTTGCTCTACCAACCTAAGGTTAATATGGTGGCCACCTAAGCAATTAAACTATCAATAGGACACACAATGGACTTGCATGTGTAGAAACAGCTTTTCAACAAAAACAGGCGAAGTAACACTGCTTAGCATTTTTAACCTGGTAAGCATTGGTCAGCATTTCAACATGCTGCATTGGCACATTTACAATATGCTATATACTCACAATAAAGGGGCACGCAAACAGTGAGTAACACCCCGCTCATCTCTAACCTTTTTATCAGGCAAATCACACCATTCAGACAGTGAACGAAACTGTTATACAAGTAAGACATAGAGACTTGTGTACATCACTTTGTTAGCACGGGTGTTGTGTTGGCTTGCGCATCCTGCTGCTGACCATGTCCCCGTCACACAGGGAATCTGCCACAAAGCAGCATTCCCTCAAGAAGGTAATCTATTACCCATTGAACCAGAGTCATGTGCCAACTATTTACCACATTGGCATGTCCGTCCCTTTACCAGGTTTTATCTACCAGCCAACTCTCTCCTTTGCAATCCTCAGCATAAGAACAAGCCACAAGCCATGTGTATAAGGATCACCTATAGCTCTTAGCATTTCAATTGCCACCCTCTCATGTGTACCAGTGAGAAATGAAATCATAGAGAATATAAACTCCTATTAATATGTGTCATATGTACTGTGTATGTACTATCAATGTGGCATGAAAACATAGGTATATCTTGTACATGATTAGTGTAATACATAGATACAGCTAGGCATTATTATGATGACTCACACAGCTTTTGAATCCGTTGTGGGAGCGGTCTGAGGACTACTGGTAGCCTTTTGTTTAGGAAGTGGTGGTGCCTTGGTCTGTGAGCGAGTGGTTGGTTTTGTCTTATCTGTCTGAGAGCGTGGTGCAGAAGGGAGGGTGGCGGGGGGAGGCTGGGAGTGAAACACATTTCCAATAGGGTTCTTAAGTCCACGGATTCCAAAGGCCACTTCCGCAACTTGCCAGATACTTGGTCGTTTGGCAGCATCAGGTTCTAGCATGTAACCTAGAGAGAAACGGCAATGGTACAGCATAGTTCCCTTCAGCCAAAATGTTCTGTAGTGTGTATACACTAAGTTGCAGTCACGTATGGAGTCTTATAGAAATATCATATGTTTTCATGTGATTGAAAGTAACCCTGCCTAGATCTCCCTATGTAGTAGCATCCACTCAAGGAAACTTCCTTGCACCACTCAGGCAAGCTCTTTTTTCCCTTGGCAATGTTTGCTTTACACTTGCTTTGCTTTAAGGTAACAAATTATGCTCAATCTAGGCCATTTTATACATTAGGGCAACATGCCCTCCAACTACAGTGGTTCCTAATGGCAACAATGAATGAATGGCCACACACTAAGATGGTAATACTAGCCCTATTTCCCTGGCTCCCCCCCAATTCAGGGCCACACTATACACCATTGAAACACAATAATGCCGAAAAGGCATGATGCACATAGCTCCCATGAAAGGCTTGTGATTGTGGTTCCACTGAGTTACTTTCCCTTCCTCAAATACACCACCTTATTTTGTCAGTACCCAGTTAGCCTAACTCTGTATCACCTTACACCACACTAAACCACTCAATGGCCAGCCACTACCTGGCCCACCAGCTGTAATGCAACAGCACAATGTACAGGAAACGCCACACATGGGGATATGCCAACCTCTACAAATTTGGAGTAATCCAATGGGTGATTCATGTGGTTGGCTTGCCAATAAACAGGAGGCTTACTTGCTGAAAATGCTCCAACATGCAAATATCATCATGCATAATATCAATCCTTGTGCCTAACTAAACACTAGTAGGCGAGCTGAGGCTGAATCACAACAGGCCCCTTCTGTGCCATCCACTGCAACACAGCAATATACTGAGGCTAATATACAGGTGTATGCTGTGTACAAGCAATCAAGTCAAAGAGATGTGCACTGACTGTTTCCGGTAATGCACATGAGATATCCTTGCTGAAATTATGTTGTGGGTTGCAGAAAACCAGAAGGACTTACACTTCCCTCACATACAACACTACCTATGTACCTGGCTATCTGAGAATGGCAATCACTAAGCCTGCCGATAGCACCAACATTAATATTTGTTTGGGTGACGTGTCTTTGGTGTTAGTTACCCCGGTCTGCTCCTACATACTGAGTGAGAGTAAACTGTGCCATAGCACAGTGGTTTGCCTTTGTGTTTTGTTGCGTTGTAGATTTGAACCTCTACCAGCAGAACTACCCTGGTCGCTCAGTTGCAGAGTGTCGTGGGTTCAATTCCACCCAGGGCAGCTCTTCTTCTGCCTTTCTACCTCGTTATAGCTGGTTGCCGACACACGTGTATATGGACTTTTATGACTAAAACTAGGCAATCACAAGAACTCTTGCAACTCTAATTATCATTCCGAGACACTTGCGTGCTCCCACGTGAAGGTTGGCTAGGGTCAGATTTCTTGGTTGTAATAAGTCAGCATGTTTGGAGAATTGGTAAGCAAATGAGATATAAGTTATTAAATCTTGTGACAACAACATAGTGGTCCACATGAGGATGTATACAAATAAACCAAATACATGATCATGCCATATTTCGCGGTTTATGTAAACATGCTGATTCAGCACAACCAGGAAATCAGATATCAAACTCTCTTCCTCACAGACGGGTGAGGTTTGTGAGTGAGGCTAGTACTGCCTGATCCTCTGTGCGCAATCTAACCAGTGAGTGTACTCTTGTCTTTTCAGTTGCATTCGCTGCACTCTTCGATGCCTGACCGATTCTGCATGTCTTTCCAATCTTCGTGGTTCGAAGATGCAAGTTGTAAATAGGCTAGGATGGCTCTTGCAGATACAGTGCCAAGTACCAAGAGAGTAGAATGGTCACTCTTTGGCCAACTTCTCAGTCTTGCTATAAACAATCCACACAAGTAACATATCAAAATGATCCTCAATCATTGCTATATAATCTGATAAGGATCATGTGAGGTCATGTGACACAACAGCAAACTCTAAAGAAGGTCCTTCAGAAAAACAGAAAGGCTGATTATTTTAGCAAGACTAAGAACTGCAAGTCAATATGCACAATCCTAGTCCATAGGAGCATCTTTGAGGCCAGAAAAGCTTCACCACTTACCTTCAGTTTGTGGACAACATGCAAAAACAGTGGTTTTGTAGGTCCCTGGGGGTTACGCTGATGATTTTGCAGCAACTTTTACTAGTTAAGCTCCAAGACTTGAAATATGACATCTCAAATAAATCTACCTAGTGACGTACCAATTCGTATTTCAGCTCATCGTTTTAGTGTGGTGGTAAAACAAGCCAATGTCTGCAAAAGTGCAAGTCCGCGGAGGTCACTTCCTATCATTCAAACGTGACATCAAAATTCGTGCCTACGCCACGTTGACATTTTATCTCGAAGTTTTCCAAAGCAGATCTTCCGCGACGGCTCTAACAACGGCCTTCACGACCAAGGAAAGGCACTACGAGCGACATAAAGTAGGTACAAAGGAGAGTCCAGGTTAGCGATAAGCAGGTTACTGCTCACCTGTGTTAGGTACACCTTAGTTCACCCTGAGCACTGCCAGACTGTTGTAGGTTGTCCAATGACCAGGTGCACAGGCATTTTAACTCTCAAAGACAATGAAGAGTGATGTTATTCGCGGGTTGTACAAGAAACGAATGAGGAACAAGCCCAGAATGAACTCATGCAAAGTTTGTGCACACGCTCGGTGACATAGTTGCTAAGTTAGAATTTGTTCACAGTGTCATACTATACCCAAATGGCTGCCAAATCCGAGCACTTTTGCACTGCGCTAAACGATGAGTTGACATGGACTTGGTACGATGGCAGATGTACTTGAGATTTCAAATTACAAGTCTTGGAACTTTAACACACCAAAACCACTGTATACGCATATTGTCCGAAAACTAAAGGTAAGAAGTATAATTTTTCTGGCCTCACTGAGTTTTGGCTCAGTCTTACTAAAATGATGAAAAGCACTGAAGTGCAAACTCTCGTCTGACACGGGCTAGCTACAGCAGTTGAAAGCATGCGAGAGTCGTTACACGCCCTCTATTGAGACTTCTTAGCCTCCAAGGTACGAAGAGCAAGCACATCTTGTCGAGGTAAGCCTGTACAAATTTGCATCTTGGCTTGTTCTTTTCACGCCATAACCTTTGAATGCAGTATTTTTACGAAAATCGGCAGTTTTAAAAATCAAGCAAGCGTAGCGCCGAACCTATTGGTGATGTTTATTGGCTGTCTTGTTGCGCCTGGTGGCAGAGAACGTGGTAACAGACACACAAACCAACTACTGTAACCCTCGCTGCGCATGTGCGTCGAGGGACACTTACAAACCAAGTACTGTAACCCTCGCTACGCATGCGCGTCGAGGGATAATCAGCCTAACTGTTATTCTGAGTATCACATTAATCGGCAAAGATCATTTTTATCTGTAGCTTGTGTGGTTTGCTCATAGCAAGAATGAGAAATTGAGCAAGGAGTGAAAGTGACCCTGTACAGTCATTGTACGCTTGCTCCTGCTCGCATAAAATGACCTACATTCGCCTACTAGTATTTACCTTGTGGCACCTACCCCCCCTTTGCGTGTGATATTGTGCGGTGATGGACCTAAAGGAAGTCATGCGTTTATGTGTTTTGATCTTGATCCATTCTGTCACTAACACGCAACGCAAACACAATGAAAAAAGGAAAAAGTTAGTGTGCGGTTTTGACATTATGTGCTGCTGGAAACAAAATCGTTTGCATGAATAACTACTTATATAGTATGTAATTAAATACTAAAACACAGCTGGGTGTACACTACATACACAAAATCAATGTGTATAAAATACACGTTATGTACTAATGCATGAGTAGTTTGTTACTTACGTATGAGAGAATGAACAGATTCAGAGTACTTGGAATTGTCGGCGATGATGAAGGTTCCAGAAACAATGGCCAATGGCTGCTCTCCAAATGGAGTAGTGAAGAAACACAGCTTGTAGAGGAGGCACCCCAAAGCCTATAGTGTAGATTGAGCTGTCATAATAGGAATATTCACCAAACTGTAATGTTGGCCAATCAAGATGTGCATGACATTCAATGTCTGACCAGTATGCCAACGAAATTTGTACATGGACACCAGGCATTTGTAATTTTACCTTGATGCAGGACCCTGTGAAGTAAGATCAATAGGCACAAAATGCACGATGTCATACATACGCTTTGGCAATTTATGCGATTGGTACATGTGGTAACTAACGTTTATCCTCAGTAGAGATCTTCTATTGTGAGTTGGCACTGATCCCTACTGTTATTATGTGTGTCACCAAACCTACACACCTGAAACCCAGATCACACATGGTGTAACATTTCTGGACTAGTACTTGAGATTGTTGGAGACACACGGTGGTAGGAAGTGAGACCGTTAGCAACGCTGTAGCTGAATTAGGGTCGGGTATGCTGTCGCACTATTTTCATGGTAGAAAACGACCTTCGCTATACTCATAAGTACTATTCAAGCCCAACACATCTAGTTAGTCTGTTGTCCCCTGTTTGTGGTTTAGGCCATTGACACTATACCTTAATGTGCAAAATACACAGGAGAAATGCTCTACTCTGCAGAGTTCAGCACTTGTAATTGCCATGGTATGGCGTAATGTGCACACATGCATATTGTCAGCAACATTAGATGTACAAAATCCTAAACAACTGTTCTGCTGCATATGCAAAAACTAAGACACAGGTGAACTCTCACCCAAATATCAGCCTTGGTAGTGATGGTGTTACCAGAATAAAGTGACACCATCTCAGGTGCCCGATAAGGCATGGTGGTAAACCTGTAGCAAAAAAAGCACTGGCAGTCATAATGCGAGTATTATACATGTTACAACGAAAGCATGTAAAAGAACATGGTCTTGTGTGTTGTATTGTATTGTGTATATATATGTATATGGACCCATGCCTGCTGAACTGCCCCTTGTATGCTCAGTCGGTAGTGCTCTGTCTTCATTGCCGAATGTAGTGGGTTCAAATGCCTCCAAGGGAAGCTCTATTTCATTTGGAATTGTTTGGGTGCACTTGAGTTGTTTGCCATGCTTCTGCCTAGCAACTTTATTGCTGGACATGCAGTATGATGGTCTATGGGAACAGGTCTGGGTATACAGAATAGATACAGCTGTCAGCAATTTCAAACCATGCTTGACTCTACCTACATATCCACCTGGTGATATGTGTGCCTGTGCTGCACTTACCTTAATGGAGACTGGGACCTAATGCCCCCACTGGGAGTCTATAGAGTAATGAACAATCCTGATGTCCACCAAATAAACTGGGAGGCAGTTGACAGTTACTAGGATTGCACACTTGCAAATCGTGTTGACACGTTTCATGTGTTTGGCACACAACGTCCTACATTGGTGTTAGAGCTGGAATACAGTTCTCCAATTAATGTGCACCTCCCTATACTGGGCACACTGTATGCACACGCATGTGAAATATTAGTTTGTGCATGTTGTCAAAAGTGTTCTCATTACTGGGGGATATGAGAAGGCTATTCCAGTGCTAGGGTGCTAAAGTCCGTAGTTAGCAACATCCTACAGAAGAAAGTGCTGATGTTTACAATGCCTTTGACAGGTCAATGGCACTACAAACATCTGCGGCATAATTCATTGTTTGGGTTGCTGAACTTTCTGACCACCTTAATAGGAGAGGTTTTACTGTACATATGTACTTTGCAATCTGTTCTTCACACAGAGCAGCTCCTAGGACCTCAGGGTGCATGATCTTGACTGTACAGCTGCCATAGTCACACAAGACAAAGTTTCCATGACAATCTCTGAGGATGTTTTCAATCTGGAACACCAGCACAGATAAACAACTTACCACCATTACAAAAGATAAAAATTCTTCCAATTCAAAAAATGTGGAATATAGGGATGCCATAAAAAGTAAGGAGACAAGACAGGGATGACCTAGTGCATTAGTACAATGGCATGATGGTTCTTCAAACTGACATGGCTTGCTCGTGTAAATCTTCCTCCACACAAGCCCTATATTGTCGCCAAGCATGAGTGAGCCCCCTCATAGAATTATTCATCTCTGAAGCACGTGATGCACAGGTGTTGCCCTCTCTGACAGCTCCTCCGTTTTTGGTTGTGACTGCATTGTGTGCAGTCTAAGACTTCCTTGCTCGCTCAACTAACGATGAGTTTTACAATGCTGTGATCATGGCCCGCCAGAGAATCCCTTTACAGACTGGTCTTAATACTCTAAAGAGTGCCGGCTAAATGCACTGTCATTATAATCTCTTGCTAGCACAAGTGATCTCTATTGTATGATGTGCAGCTATGATTCGTTTCTTATGCACAAGTGGATCAATGTGTCTCAGCCTTACCATTGTCCTCCCACTAAACAAATTCATGTTGTGAGAAAAGTGGCGACAATATAGGGCTTGTGTGGGGGAAGATTTACACGAGCAAGCAATATCAGTTGAAGATGTAACCATCATCCCATTGTACTAATGCACTAGGTCATCCCTGTCTTGTCTCCTTGCTTTTTATGGCATCCCTATATTTCACACTTTTTAATTCGCAGATTTTTTTATTTACTTGTCTCCTTTCCTTTTTTTACTGTATTCACATGCATAGTGTGCAATATACTTTTGGGCATAAGCCCATAAAAGTAATATTAGTGGTATTAAGCTATCGCCTCAGACGTTTTGCGCCATTCACATTACATCAGTGCACCAAGTTTCAATGTGAGAGGACCCATCATAAGCAAGTTATACGCACTGACACCGTTTATTGCCTGAGGCTGTTTTTGTTGTTTTTTAACCCTGTAATTTCTGTATCGATGAATTGTTGATGATGGTGAATCAGTGTACAAGTTTCATTGTTAGAGGACCAACCTCAAGTATTTTATAGGCAAAAACACGTTTTTATTGCCTGAGGCTGTTTGTTGTTGTTTACAAGCTTGTAATTTCTGTTTCGATGAGATATTATCATGCTACATCAGTGTACCAAGTTTCATTATTAGAGGATCTACCAAAATGTTATATGCACAAACACTTTTAACAAGTTTTTATTGCCTGAGGCTGTTTGTTGTTGTTTAAAAACTTAAATTTTGATACTAATGATCGGTTGCATGTGTGTACCATTGTGCTCAACCTAGTTAGCACACTATATTGGTCTATATCATAATGTATGGACTGGGGCTATTTTTTGTTGTTTACATGTAAACAACATTGTTTACAAACAAATTAAAACTCTTGCACGCCGTGTCACAGATTCCAATCTTGGTTTTAGATATGCTTGTCTAAACTGAACAACGAGAAGAATTTTGAAAACAACAGATTATGCGATTTAAGCCATTTCTTAGATACATGCTCTTGGTGACAATACGAATCAGACTAAGTCAAGTTGGATTTGATTGAAAATGAAAGTGAAACATGAAAATCTCAAATGTATGGGCATAATGCAGGACAACCTGTGTCATCCCTACTACCGTACTTAGTGATTATAACATGCAAAACAACTACAGTTTTTATGTATGACAAGTAAATTAAACATTCTGCGAATTTAAAAAAGAGGCATATAGGGATGGTATAAAAAGAAAGGGAGACAAGATAGTGATGGGATACATGAAGCATGGTTAATGAACAGATTTGAGTACTCTGACACCCCCAACCCCATCACACAATCCCTATATTGTTGCCTGGTGTGCTATTCTTATAGGGGCTAAAGGTTACTAAAAGCAAGAATTCTTTCACCGTGTCCCTGTTGTTTTTAGTAACAGTTGTACTGCCACATTCCCTCTCCACTTGGACTCTACAAGGGTGTTGGTTACTCAGTAGTGTATTGTAAGTTCTCACTATTGTAATGGTGAATGTTTAAACTTCACCTAGGCAACAATACCGGGATTGTGTGTATTAACATTTATTTACTTGTGTCCACTAATTTTTTATATACTACTACGTATTATCTCTGTGCGCCCCTATAATTATAAAATGCCTGTTGCCGTCATGGAAATTATCTCCATGTGTGCTGCCATTATGGCAAGTTTGAGGAGTGAAAAAGTAATTTTGAAGAAAAGTGCCTGAGGCTATTTGTTGTTGTGGTCGTCATGGAAACGATGTAATACACATGCACACCAAGTTTCACCTCCATGTGTGCTAAAGTTAGCAAGTTTTAGGAGTGAAGAAGTAATTTTAAAGAAAAGTGCCTGAGGCTCTTTGTTGTTGTGGTCGTCATGGAAACGCTGCAATACACATGCGCACCAAGTTTCACTTCCATGCGTGCTACAATTAGCAAATTTGAGCAGTGAAGAAGTGGTTTTAAAGAAAATTGCCTGAGGCTTTTTCAAACAAAATGTGGTCGTCATGGAAATATGTAAACGTCATGGAAATGATTATAATAGGCATACTTACCAAGTTTCATCTCTATGTGTGCTATCATTGGAGAGTTTGAGGAGTGAAGAAGTAAATTTAAAGAAAAGTGTCTGGGGCTATTTGTTGTTGTTTACAAACATGTATTGTTGTAATTTTGATGTTGCTGATTGAATACATTATGTCTACAAAGTTTCGTTCACATAGCTCCTACCATTTGTGAGTTATACTGACACATGTGATCCCTTTATAATGTACTGCCTGGGGCTATTTGTTGTTGTTTAGAGTAAACAATGTTGTTTACAAAGAAATAAGTATGACCAGTCTCTTCGGGTGACGGATATCTACATTCTTACAAAATCTAATTACTTTATGTTGTTTTGTTTTTGAGTTATGGGTGTTGAATCTGAAGAAGAAGAAGAAGGAGAAGATGAACAAAACCCCCTATCATAGCCCCATGATGCTAGGTACCATGCCAATCCCTATATACTAAGTACTACTGTACTTAGTGATTAAGTTTGTCGACATGACCCAGCCATTATTTCATTGCACAATTAAATATGAAACAGGACATGCATACAATTTGCCTAATTCGCAAGCAATGCAATTGCTCACGTATGCAGTGCACAACTTTTATTATTAAATGCAATTTTTTTCTGCTTCAGAAAGGAACCAAACTCATGAATATACTGATACAATCATTATGGTGCTCAATTACAAGCTAGGATAGGATGTCACCACGGCAAAAAGTTAAGATTCACGGAAGAATTGGGCAACTGTGTTTCTGACAGCAGCATGAGGAACATGAAAAAGGCCTACTTATGAAGAGTGTACCAGACCCTGACTAGGCTGTGTCATGGCGCCCACTAGCCTCGGCCGACCACTACTATTTGGGCAAGAGCTGGAAGGTAAAATTGCCGACTACATGTGTGCACTACGTTTGGCGAGTGGTATCGTCAATTGTTCCATTATACAAGCAGCGTCTAAAGGGTAAGTTTCTCACAGTAATCCCTCTCAGCTCCAGGAACATGGTAGGCATCTACAGATCAGTTTGAAATGGGCAGAGTCTTTCCTAAGGCGCCTTGGATATGTTAAGAGAAGGCTACCAAGGCAACACAAAAGCAACCTCCTAATCTGGACGATTTTAAATCTGCCTTTTTACAGCAAATCCGGACTGAAGTGCAACATCATGGTATTTCACCAAAACTGGTCATCAATTTGAACAAGACAAGGTCATAAATTGGTTCCTGTCAGCCAGGTTCAGCAGGGATGCATGCAAGTTTATGTTGTTGGCAGAGACAACAAAAGGGAGTTAACTGTTCTTCGTACTGACACTTGCTACCGACAGAGCTAATGTATTTACCTGGGAAACACCTGGCTCTCACGCTAAGATAACTTTTCCACAGTGGTGGAACATCACACATAGTGATAACTACTGGAGTAAGGAAGAAAAGATGCTGCAGTATATTGATCCTCGGAGAGATATAGAGTTACCAGAAAACCAACTATTTTTGATGTCTTTGCAGCTCATCAGTCCAGAAGTTGAGTGTATATCACATTCATCAGGTTTCTGTCCCTTCTTCATGCACAGGCGAACTGCAGTCTCTCGATCTGTCCATTAACAATGAGTTTAAAGAGCAGGTGGTATGAGGAAGAGATTAGGAGAGGATTAGACCAAGGTGCAAGCAAAGTGAAGATGGATCTAAAAGCATCTGTTATAAAATCTACAATCAATACCTGCATCTTCAGTTAGAGGTTTTGAGACAGTACGGATAACAGAGTGTCTCAGTGCAAGGGTATTGTGTTGTAGTGTACTATGGCTATCAGACTTAGAACAGGAAGTTTGTTAAAACATAACCATTATACTAAATAACATCCAATTTAATGACGCCATACAGGACATATATCCTTCTGAGCTTCAGCTACAAGAAAACTACGGAGAGCCCAACTACACTTTCCTACTTAGATATACTTATTACTATAGAACATGGGAAATATTCTACTACGTTGTACGATAAGAGGGATAGTTTTCACTTTGAGATCGTGAATTTTCCAAATATGAGTTCTAACATCCCATCTAAACCAGCTTATGGTGTATATATTTCCCAACTTGTACGTATAGGTAGAATATGCAGTGGTTACGAGCAATTTTGTGAGCGACATTACAAACTCACACAAAAACTAATAAAGCAAGGATTTAGATATGCGGAGCTATGTAAAGCATTTAGAAGGTTTGCGCAAAATCATTTGCTTTGCAAATACAACCGCAGTGTACGTAGACATATTGAGGACGGTGTATGTTTGCCAGCCAGTGATGGATTCCTGGGCCGCCAGTGTCTCGACACGTAGAAGATCCCGTGGGATTGGTAGCTAGATGTTTTGTACACACACAGTTGTC